CATCTCCTGGGGGCTGCACCACCCCAGGGCTGGGGGCCACGTAGCTCCAGGGATGTGCAGCTCCAGGGATGTGCAGTGGTCTCAGAGTTCCACTGATCCTGCCCCCAGCCCACGCTGCTGGATGGCCCCAGGGGCATTTCCCAGCCAAAAGCAGCCTGGAAGTGCAACCCCCCCCAAAACACTGCCCTCCCTGCCCCCCCAGCCCTGCTTCCCCGCCCCCAGAGTGAGGAGAGCCAGGCCCAGAGTGGGAGGATGAGGCTTTATTAAATTAATGTCGAGGCAGTGGATCCATCCAGTGTGGCTCAGCTCCCAGTGTCGGGTCGGGGCTGGGGACCCTGGGGTGATGTAGCCCCAAAATGCTGAGTGCCAGGGTGCAGTTTGGTGGGGGGGTCCCTAACCTCCAGTTGGACCTCTGGGACAAATCCTGGGGGAGTTGGAGGGGGGAGATTGCAGGGAATGGAGAAACACAGAGTTTAAATTAAATACAGCCACGGCAACCCACCCAAGAGGAAACTCCAAATGAAGCGGGGCTCCCAGAGCAAGCATGCGAATTTGGGTGGGCTGCAGAGGGGGGCAGCTTGGTGCTCCTTCACTCTGAGAAAGGGTGCAAAAAATCCACACAAACATGTCAAAAACCTCGAGGAGACAGGGAGGCATCAGGAGGGGGGTGGGACGAGTGGAGGTGCTGGGTTTGGGCAGGGAGGGGGCTACCAGAAGGATGCTCCTGGCCGCTGTCACTCGTCCCCTGAGGACCAGGGCTGCTGCTCAGCCCTGAGCTGGCACGCTGGGGGCTGCTCGGCTGGGAGGCACAGGACATCCTCCCCCAGAGCAGGGGGCACGGCGCTGGGCTCGGCTGCGCCACGCTTCCCCCTCAGGGTGCCATCTCCGGGGCTGGGCGCCTGCGGTGGCATCCCCAGCGCGGGCTCTGTGGTGCCCGCGGGCAGCTCCTGAGGCGGGGCAGTGCTGGTGATGCCGTTCAGCACCTCCTCGGGGAACTCGGCCAGGTCTTCCAGACTGGCCTCGCGGTGCAGCCCGTTCTCAGCCCGGTTCTCAGCCTCCGTCTCCGCTGCCTCCTGCACCGTTGGCTCCTCCTCGCTGGATGAGCCAGGCCAGGACTCTTCCCCTGCATCCCGGGGGAGCTCGGTCCTGCCAGGACCCTGCCCACCCTCCGCCAGCCTCGCCCCCATCAGCTCCTGGTTGTATTCCAGGGCCTGCTCAACTATTTCCAGAATATCCGAGTCCTTCATGAGCTCCGCCGGCACCTCTGCGGGGAGAGCAGCCGCGCCAGGGACGTCCGGAATCTCCTCTGCAAAACCTCCCTGCCCCAGCGCAGGGCCCAGCTCAGGGGGGCTGGCCCCAGGGGGCTCGTTCCCGGGGGGAGGAAGGCTCTGAGTGCCCAGTGCCTCCTCCTCCGTGGGTGCCTGCTCTTCCAGAGGCTGCTCTGCTCCACCGGGCACCGCCTGGAGCCCTGCTGGAGGGGCGGCCTTGGCCGTGTCACGGAGAGCCGTGCCGGGCTCATCCTCATCTTCCTCCTGCCCCTGCTGCCCTGCCAAGCCCAGCGTGCAGCCCGGGGGGGTTGTTGCTCCGCTGGCATCCCTCTCCAGCTCGGCTGTGTGCTGGAGCTCCACAGATTCAGCAGCCAGACTTGCTGAGGGCTCTGGTGTCTCCCATGCCTCAGCGCCTGTGGCAGCCTGGGCTGGCTCATCAGGACCTCCTGCCAGCACCCCGACACAGCTGGGATCTTCTTCTGGGCCTTCCTCCAGCTCAGCAGTGCTGTCCTCATCCCTTGGCACCTCAGATTCTTCAGCGGGCATCTCCACATCCTCATCTGCTTCCGCAGCAAGCACCTCGAGGTGCTCTTTGCCCTCTGGCACTGGGGATGCTTCTCCAGGAGCCCTCAGACCATCTCGGCTGCCTTCAGTCGCTTCAACTTTAATTTCTTCAAAGTCCTCGGAGATCTCAGCTTCCTCTGAGCTGGACACCTCTTGGCTGGGAGCAGAGACCATGAAATACCCTTCCTCCTCCTCAGCCCCCTCTGCCCCTGCCTCCTCCCCGGGGCTGTCTGGCACGGTGGGAGTCGGGGGCTTGTCCCTCCCCTGCAGCCACCCTTCACCCTGCCGAGCTGTGCCACCCACGGGCGCCGTCTCCGAGGTCTCCTCACTCTCGGGAGGGTTTGGGCTGGGTGCCCCCACAACCAGCACCTCCCCTGTGCAGAGGTGTGGGGCTGTGCTCTCCGGCAGCGCGTCCTCCAGCTCCAGCCTCCTGCCGCTGCCCGCGGTGGGCTCCAGGTCCCTGGGGGCTTCCTCCAGTGCCCACTCGCCACTGGCACCTGGCACCTGCTTCAGTGCCAGCAGCTCTGAGCTCTGCAGCTTCCCCAGCCCTGAGCTGAGCCTCTCGGTGGTGTCCTCGTCCTGCACCTCCTCCTGCGCCTCCTCCTGCGCCTCGTCCTGCAGCTCGTCCTGCAGCTCGTCCTGCAGCTCGTCCTGCAGCTCGTCCTGCACCTCCTCCTGCGCCTCCCCCGGAGCCTCGGCCGGCTCCTGCCTGTGCCCCTGCTCGTGGGCACCTGGAGGGGCTGGGTCGGGCTCTGCCACGCTGCCCTGCCGTGCCAGCTCCGCTGCTGGCTCAGCCTCTGGCAGTGCCCACTGCTGGTTCATCTCCTGGCTCTTGGCATCGTCTTCATCATCTTCCTGGCCTTCCTCCAGCTCTGCTGGCCTTGTGCCGTGTCTCTCCTCGCTGTGCAGCCCTCCTGCGCTGCTCGGGGTGTCGTCTGCCCAGGCTGGCTCTTCTGGCCCCAAAACTCCCTCAGTGTCCTCTGCTGTCACCTCCCAGTCCTCTGGACAGGGCTCTTGGCCATCATCCCCCTGTCCCCAGCGCTCCTCCTCCTCCTCCTCCTCCTCCTGTTCTCCCCCCTCTCTTTCCTGCAGGTCCTCGGGGTCCTCTGGGGCTCTGCTCTCCCTCTCCAGGGTGGCACCTCCCACAGCCTCTCCTGCCCCATGGTCTTCTCCTGCCTCAAAGACTTCTGCCCCACGGTGTTCTCCTTCCTTGGAGCCCTCTCCTGCCCCATGGTCTTGTCCTGCCTCAGAGTCTTCTCCTATCCCTTGCTCTTCTTCTGCCTCAGAGTCTTCTACTCCTTGCTCTTCTGCCCCATGATCTTGTCCTGCCCCATGGTCTTCTCCTGCCCCATGGTCTTCTCCTGCTGTGAGGTCCTCTCCTGCCATGGGGTCCTGCCCTACCCCACGATCTTCTCCCAGCACCTCCCTGCTGGCCTCTCCCTTTTCTCCCTCACCATCTTCCACTCTGCCCATGTCCTCCCATCCCACAGCATCTTCTTCAGCTCCTGTGGAAGCCTCCTCTGCTGGGATGGCCTCATGGACACTCGAGGGCTTCAGCTCTGGACCCAGCTCCTGTCCCCTTTCCTTCTCTGCAGTCAAATCCATCTCACACACAAGCACCTTCTGCTGCTCGGACCTTTCCTGCTCTGCATCAGCAAAGTCCTCTTCCAGGTGACCTTCTGTAGGCAAAACCAGGTGGCTTTGCACAAGGACAGCACCAGCAGCTTCCACTTCTCTGCGTGGACACTCCTCTTCTTGCACATCTGGTCCTTCTCCCTGGAAATCTCCTTTCTCCTCGCAGGGGCTGCAGGGTGCCCTCTCCTCCTCCTCCTCCTCCTCTGAGGGGTGTGAAGGCTCTGTGCTTTGGGTCTCTGTCCTTTCCTGCTCTGGCTTTTCCCAGCTGCTCACTGTCTGCCCAGCAGGACCCTTGTCCCTTTCCTGAGCCTCCACTTCTGGATCTCTTGGGCTCAGCACAGCAGGTACCTCCTCTTCCTCCTCCTCTTCCTCCTCCTCCTCCTCCTCCTCCTCCCACGCTCCCAGATCTTCCCGGCTGGCCGAGGCACTCAGGGCCCCGGCTGTGTCCTGCAGGATGCTGCTCCCCACATCCAGCCCCTGGAGCACGGCCTCCCCACCCCTCTGCTCTGCCTGGGGGCTCTCGCCATCCTCAGAGCCCTCGGAGGGATCCCGCTCTCCCCCAGGCCCCTCCGGCCCAGCCTCCCCACGAGCCTCGGGGGGCAAAACGGGGCTGGGGGCACAGAGATCCCACATGGAGCTGCCCGCGGGCTCCTCTTCGGGCCGAGCACCGTCTCCCATCGCCTTGAGCGCGTCCTCCAGCGCCTCGCTGACCAGCCGGGCCGGGTACCGCAGCCCGCCGGCGGCTCCCGGGCTGGCGCCGCCGGCGTCCCCCGAGCCTCGGGACAGGGCACGCTCCGTGCCCGGGCTCAGCGCCGCCCCGTCTCCTCCCGGCCAGGCGGGACCCGCTCCCGCGGAGCTCTCCTGCCCCGGCGCTGCGGGGCCGGGGGGCTCCGGGGAGAGCGGAGGGGCGGCTCTGCCCGCCCGGGCCGGGCTGGGCGTGGGGCAGCCGGGGGTTCCCGGCCCCCCAGCCCGGCCGCTGGCCGTGCCGTGGAGGACTGCGGTGATTTTCTGCAGCTCCCCGGCACCGCGGCTTTTGGGGCTCAGCGTGTCTCTTTGGGGCTGTGCCCCGGGGAAGGCGGAGGGACTGGCGCAGCGCTCCCGGGGCAGCAGCCGCCTGCTCTCGGGGCTCGCTGGCACCAGTTTGCTGCCGCTGCTGCCGCTCACCTCCAGTTTGAGATCTGCGAAGAGTGAGGTGGAGCCCTGAGCAGGCGGGGAGAGCTCCTGGCGCTCCCGGCGCTCCCTCCCCGGCCGCCTGGCTGACCCTCGCTGCCCCCTCTCCTATTTTTAAACAGCTCCTTCTTGGAAAGTGGGAAATTCCTCTCTCCTGAGTGCAGCGGATGCTGCTGCTCCCGGGGGACTCAGCATCGGGCCGGGACAATGCTGTGCCCAGCTGCAGCCGCAGCCGGCTCCTGCTGCTGGGGAAAGCGTGCAGGTGACAAGCTTTCCTCCGTGTTTTGTTTTTGTTTTGTTTTGAGGAAAAAGGAAATGCTCAGCTCGTTACCGCAGCTGGGCAGATCCGCTCCTGCCCTTCCCATGAAAGGCAGGGAATTAAAAAAGGAGGGGAAGGAGCAGATAAACCTTAAAAAGGAGCAGATAAGCCTTAAAAAGGAGCAGATAAACCTTAAAAAGGAGCAGATAAACCTTATCTGGGCTGTGAGCCCCGTGCCAAGAGCCCCCGGCCGCTGTTCACACCTTCCTAAGCAGCACCGCTGCCAGGAAAGTGCAGGGAAACGCGTCTAAATTCACATTTCAACACATCTAAAGCCCCCCACGAGCCCTCCCAGGGTGAGGCAGTGGTGTTGGGGTGGTGCTGGGGGTCTCCCTTACCTCGCACACCGCTGGCCAACCTGAATTCCCCGGCGGGCATCTGCAGGCGGGTGCTCTCCGCTTCCAGCAGCGTCCTGGAGGAGGAGAGGAGCTCGGTGGGTGCTGCGGGGTGGGTGCTGCGGGGTGGGTGCTGCGGGGTGGGTGCTGGGTGCTGCAGGGTGCTGAGTGCCCCCTGTGCGCGGCCCAGCTCACCCCGCTGGGCTGCGGCAGCCTCAGCGCAGGTAAACTGAGGCACGGGTGGTTGCGCGGCTCTCTCGCGGCTCGGTGAGGACACGGGCCGCACCGAGGGAGCCCCCCTTGCTCCCGTCTCCCCTCCCATCCCCCCGGGGCCGGGATTAGTGTCCTCGCAGGGTGACATCATGCTCTGCCGGCGAGGCCCCTCGGCCGGGCCGGGCCAGCCCCTATTCTCATGCTAATGGTCCCCGCGGTGCCCGGCAGGCCGCCTTTGTGCGGGGCCATCTGGAAGGGCTGCGGAAGGGGCACGGGGCTACCCCGAGCCGCACCCGCCTTGTGCCAGCCCCGCCGCGGTGCCAGGCACGCCCGGCTCCGCTCCTCACCTGTAGGTCGCCACTTCCAGGCTCAGGGACATCTTGAGGTGCATGAGCTGCTGCCTGTCCTCCAGCACCCGGGCGATCTGCGCCCGCAGGCTCCGCTGCTCCTGCTCCAGCGCCTCCATCGCCAGCTGCGGGAGCACGGCGGGGTCAGGGCCGCCCCCAGCCCGGCCCGAGCCCCGCCGCTCCCTGCGGGCTGCCCGGCTCGGCTCGTCCCCCCGGGATGCTGAGGGACGGGAGCCTGGGCGCTCCTTGAATTTAAAACAGGATTGGACCAAATGACCGGACTTGTCCAAGGCGGACGGGTCACCTTTACTTAACCCGGAAAAAGAACAGATATGGTTTACATGTGTTCGGAAAATAGCACGGGGGGCAGAGGATGGGGCAAGATGAGCTGGGCTGAAAGGCGATGGGAAGAGGGAGGAAAGGCCGCGGTGATTCCCAGCGTGGGAAAGAAACAACTTTCAGGGCAGCAGCCGAGGCGGCTTCAACTCTCCGCCCCGGGACCCCCACGGCTGCTGCCAGGAGCTGGAACAAAGGGAGACCCTTCCCCGGGCAGGGCTGACCCCGCTGCCGCCGTTTCCAGCCCAGCCGCCTCCGCCTCCCGCTGCTGAATCGCTTCTGCAGCTGCAGCGGACGCGGGGGGAGTTTGTCCTGCCCGCACCGGGGCACGGCGGGGCTGGGGCTGTCCCGGGGTCCCGGCCCCGGAGCGGGTCACGGAGAAACAGCCCCGGGCAGGGTGCTGGGGGAGCACCCGCTGGCTGCTCCGCTGCACTTCGGTGGCCCCGGGTCTGTTGTGCCGGGGGCAGAGATGTCCCCAAGCCACTTCTCTCTTCCTCCTGCCCTCCTCATCCTCCTCTGCAGCCACCGTCCGTCCCTTCCCTGGGGTTTGCTCCCTCTGTTTCCCACCCACCTCTCCCATCCCTCTGCTCAGGGAGGTGCCCTGAGCACCCACCCAGGCACCCACAGCCCCCTGCCCTCCCCTCCCCGGGGACCCGGCTCCTTCCTGCCGCCTTCACTCGCCTGGAACTTTTCTGCCTCCCCGCGCTGCTCCTGCCACTGCCGGGCCAGGCTCTCCTCCAGCATCTCCTTCCGTGCTTTCAGCCCCGCCAGGTCCTTCTCCAGGTGCTGCAGCTGCAGCTGGCTCTGCTGGTTGTCCTCCACCGCCTTCCACAGGTTCTCCTTGGCCTGGCAGAGGAAACCCTCCAGCTGCGACACCTCCGTCTTGTAGGTCTCCACCGCCCCTTTCCAGATCTCCGAGAGTCTCTTGGAGTAATCCTCCACCTCCACCGGCTGGAAAGCCACCGGGGCACAGCGGAAGCTCTCCAGGCTGTGGGAGAAACTGGCGATCTCCTGGTCCAGCCCCGCTTTCTCCTCCTCGTGCACCTCCAGCAAGGCTTCCACCTCCTTCTCCAGCTGCACAGCTCTCTCCTTCAGCCAGATCTGCGCTCTCCTCTCCTCCTCCAGCTCCTTCCTGCTCAAGGACAGCCGCTTCTTCGCTTCTTCTCGGGCTGCCTGCTCCTTCTGGCACCTGCTTTTCACCTGCTGCACCTCCTCGTAGAGGTTGTCCCTGGCCAGCTCGGCCGTGCACTTCTCCCTGAAGGCGAGATCCAGCGCATCCCGCAGGGCTCGCAGCTCCTCCTCGTACTTGGCCCGCCGCGACTCCCCGGCCGGGCTGCTCCTGCTGCTCTGGATTTCAGCTCGCAGCACCTCGTTCTCCTCCTCCAGGAACTTCACGCGGGCCAGGTACGCCTCCAGCCGCTTGTTGAGGTCCCACATCTGCAGCGATTCCTCTCCCAGGGCTCTCGGCCCTGCGAAACTTTCCGTGCTCAGCATGGGCGCAGCCGGAGGGTGCCGGGGCTCGGGAGCCGCCGCGGGAGGAAGACACCGGGGGAGGAAGACACCGGGAGAAGAAGATGCCGGGAGAGGAAGATGCCGAGGGAGGAAGATGCCGGGAGAGGAATATGCCGCGGGAGGAAGATGCCGAGGGAGGAAGATGCCGGGGGAGGAAGATGCCGAGGGAGGAAGATGCCGGGGGAGGAAGACGCCGGGGGAGGAAGATGCCGGGGGAGGAAGATGCCGGGGGAGGAAGATGCCGGGGGAGGAAGATGCCGGGGGAGGAAGATGCCGAGGGGGAGAGCGGAGCGCCGAGGAACGGGGAGGGAAGCGAGTGGCTGGAGCGGAGGGGAGCGCAGCTATTCATACTCTGCGCTGTCGAGTGGGAGGCCCCCGAGACCGGACGAGCAGCCGGCTTTAACCCTTGCACAGCCGAGCCGACTCCAGCCCACGCGGGCTCGACGCTGAGCTCTGATTTCCCAGGTGCTCCTTCCCACCTCGGCAGGGTGACTCGAGGGCTTGGCCGCTCTCCCGGCGTGGCTCGGCGGAGAATGCCCTCCCGAAAGCCTGAGGGCCATGCCAGGGAGCTGGAGGGCTGCCGTGGGGCTCGGCGTGGAGCTTGGGAGGTGTCCAAGGGCACTTGGCAGATGCCCATGCTGGCTGCAGCATCCCCCGGTGGCGGCTTGTCAGCCCCGAGCTGCTCCAAAACCTGGGCCAGGAGCCCCAGAGGAGCCCACCGAGGCTCTCACGGCCCTGGCGAGGTGATGGCTGCACCGAGGACATCTCCGGGTGCCCGGGGCTGCTCTGGGCTCAGCACAAGGCAGGGCAGGTCCCTGGATCCATCGGCGTGGAATTCCCTCTGCGGAGGGAGAGCAGCTCAGGGGTCCCAGCCAGTGGCTCCCCGGGCCGCTGCATCCAGCTGTGTCCAGCTGCAATTTTCTTTCTTTCCAGATGTCCGGGAGCCCGACGGGAGCAGCCCCGAGACTTGGCAGGCGCCGGCTCCAAGTTTGGCTGCCGTCAGAACTTCCACCCGCGCGGTCAAGCAGTCACGGTGCAATATTTGGGGATTGGGATTTTGGAGTTTTCTCTCTTTATTCACCCCAGATGACTTATCTGGGGGAGGGGCAGCGCGCCGGCGAGGGGCGGAGATGGAGAATTTCGAACCCTAGGAGGTTTCTGCGAACAAAAGCAGCAGGAAAACGTCGCTTGCCAGCGGTTTCTCCCGGGAGACGGTGATTTTTCCCACGGGAGGGTCCCTGCTCTGTCCTCCCCAGGGCGGGGAGGGCAGGAATGTCTCCTCCCGAGCTGTCCCACGGGCCGGGCTCTCGGCGAGCGCTTCTGCAAAGACAAGCAACAGTCCCCTCTGCTGGCAAAGGCCACCCGGAGCCGCCCCCGGGCTCCCGGCAGCCTCGCAGCGCTCGGGAGATGCTGGGGGTCCCACGCCCCCCATCCGGGGTGCAGCAGCAAGCCCTGGGAGGGACGGGGTGGCGGGGGGATGAGCCGGCTCGGGGGTCCCCAAAGGCAGCGTCTTTCCGGCTCATCTCCGGCCAGACATCCGTCTGGCTCCTCGGCTCTGCCCTGCCTCTCACCGGTGAAATGCCAGCAAGGGAGCGCTGGGGTTGATCTGGGGGCTGCGGAGGCCTGGGCACGCGGTGATGCTGCACGTCTTCATCTTCCTCCTCCTCATTTCCGTGGCATATCGCTCCGAAGCTGGCCTTCCTCACTGCCTGCCTGCTCCCACTTCCCACCTCCTCTTCGGGATGTCCAGGAACCCCCAAAACTGCTGCAAAAAGACCCTCGGTGCTCATGGCAGCACTGGGAGAGAGCATTTCCTTCCTCCCTGGCCTTGTCCCTGTCCCGGTTCAGCGCAAATTTGGGAGAGAACCCCCGAAGGGTTCCTCTAGGAAGCAGATTCAATCGGCCCCTCACCCAGCTCGTCCGGGAAAAAATACTTCCTTGGAGAAAAGTGGAAAAATCTGATATTAAAGAAGAAAACCTAAACAATATTAAACAATAAAACGTCTTGCTGCTCCAGAAGAAGACACATTCAGAAAAATCCCCACCCTGGGCTGCAGCTGGGCTCACTCAGTCTCTGCTCAGTCCCTCTGGCACTGGAAATGCCACGGGCCAGGCCGGGCCCCGTGGGCCACAGCTGGGAGCTGGGTGCTCTTCTGGGTGCTCAGCTCAGAGCGGGTTTCAACAGGTCCAAAGAAAAGGAAAAGCACATTTAGCTAAAACTAGCTAGAAAAGCAAAGGAGAGCTCTGTCCCGCTGTCTGTCTGTCCACAAACACCAGCCCAGGAGCAGGAATGTGGAGGAGCGAGTGCAGTTCTGAAAACAAACTCCTCGCTTCTTCCCCTCATCTTCACTGCTGGAATGAGTCTTAAAGGTAAAAAACTTATTATTTAGCATAAAGAGAAGAGATTATTTGGGATAAAAGCATCACACAGTCAACCCAGGAGAGTCCCTCTCTGTGACAAACACGTTTTCCTCCTGCTCAGGGTTTTTCATAGAGGTGCACAGAGGAATGAAAGAGAAAACAATTTCTATTTCTGCTCCTTGTTTTCCCCACGTGGAATGTGTTTGAAGAATTGTTTCCCTGGGGTGATGCCTGGTTGGATTCTGGTGAGGATTGTTTGAGCCTGGTGGCCAATCCAATCCAATCCAATCCAATCCAATCCAATCCAATCCAATCCAACCCACCTGGGGCTGGACTCTCCAGAGAGGGTCACGAGTTGTGTTATAGTTAGAAAAAGTAGTTTGTAGTTTGAGTATCCTCCTTTTATATAGCATATTAATGTATTTTAGCATAGTTATAATACAGAAATCATTCAGCCTTCTGAATCGAGTCAGACATTTCATTTCTTCCCCTTGGGTTTGCCTACATTAACAATACCTCTCTTCCTCCTCCTGCCTTTTGGGGCTCCCCATCGTGCCTGGCCCCTCTCTCTCAGGATTTGGATGGCCCAAATCCTGCAGCCCCAGAGGACTCGGGGTGCCCAGGGGTGCGGAGGAGCCCCGAGCAGTTCCCTGCCCGGGGGATGCTGGGGGCAGAGCTGGGGGCACCCTGGATCCTTCTGTGGAGGTGAGTGACTTAGGATGGGGACATCTGCCTTCCTGGGGGATGGCCGGAGCCAGGGACCGTCAGAAGGGG